GGCCGCGCCGGCTCTACGCTAAAACGGTCTCCGCTCTCACGCGCGGCTTCACGCTCCGCCGACGCCGATTTAACTCACACGCTCGAATTGGCGAATTTGAACTCCGCGAGCGTACTGCGCCGCGGACATGGGTGCGCAACGCCGAAGGCGGATTTTCCGCCTTGCGCGGTACACTCGTTCGTACCGCTCCTCAGCCAATCCTCCTCTACCTCGGCGCTTGTCCGCACGTCGGACAAAAGTTCAACTCCCGCCTGTGCGCAGGCGGACTCCTCGGCGGATTCTCCGCCGGCGCGGAACTTCACCCACCTGTGCACAGGCGCTCGCCTGTGCGCAGGCGAAGTCCGTCCGCGTCGATGCGCTGGCGCGGAAGGCGTTGACCGCGGTCAACAGCCTCCGGCCAGACTGTCCGTCCCTGGTCTCTCCGTCGGCGCTCTCGCCGCCGCAACTCCGCCCGACCACGAGAGCATCCATCCGTCCCGTCTGTGCAGTCCGTACGGTCCGTACGGATTTTAAAATTCTGGCGGCTCCTTGCTCGTCCGCGCCGTTGCGCTGGCGCAGAAGGCGCCGTACAATTTCTACCTCCGAAGGCGCATTTCTAGGGCCGAAGGCGGATTTCCCGCCGACGCCGGAGCGCCTGTGCAGAGGCGGACGCCTGTGCGTAGGCGAACTTCGCGCCTACATCAAAAACCCTACTTCGCCTGTGCGCAGGCGAACTTCCTTTGTCCGCGCATAGGACAAAACCTCCTTCGCCTGTGCAGAGGCGGAAAGCTGAGTATCTTACAACCTTCATAACTCCCAAAGTCCTCATCCGTTTGTGGCGTTCTTGGGCTCGTTAGAATCAGCGCGTTGAACTTTTTCCAACGAGACCCTAACTAAATCAAGGCGTTCGGGGATTGACCCAAATATGAAGGATTTCCCTACCGCCGAGGGCGCAGCGCCGAAGGCGGATTTTGCGCCTTGCGCCGTAGGGATCATACCTTCAGAGCTCGCAGGGAGGGTGGTGCCCTTCCTTGACGTTGCACCCAACTCCTAGATTCTACGAGGTCCCTCGAGAATCTCTGCGATCTTCCGAATTCACTCTATTTTGATGCACCGAAGGCTATTTACATCGCTGCCTTGGTACAGTTTTCCAAAAATGTTTTAATTTCCTCAAAATTAGCAAAAGTGGGGTACCACACCCAAACATGTGATTTATATAGTCTGAATCCAAAATCCATTCTTCTTGCTTCATTGTTGCCTCAACCATGAACATACTCCCTATAGGGTACCTGCTCCCGGATGCTCTTGGGTAGTTTTTCGCTTAACGTCATGAGCTACTTCAATTTTTTGCAGCTTTACTTCTTCACTCCTTGCATTCTTTAGCCAATTGGGCTTACTGGCATACTTCTTTGAATACCACTTTGAATACCACCCGCACACTGCAAAAATGTGCTCCTTCTCATGGCACTTAAAAAACTCTGCATTCTTGTGCTTGCAATCGGATTTGAAGTGATTAGCACTTCCACAAGCAACCTTTGTGGCCTTTTTCGTTGCATTTTGTGAGCTTCCTGTAGGGTTTTCTCCTCTTGATCCAAAGCATCCTCGGCCAAATCTAGTCTTAGCTGAGTAGGCTCATTGACCATCTTGGAGTTCTCCGGCATAAGAGCTAATATAGTAATAACACTTTCCATCTATGAGCCTAGCCCGAGTAGAATATGACGAATGAGCTTTTTATCGGAGTCATCTTCTCTAATTTGCTCAAATTTTCTCCGTATCTCCTTTGCTCTTTTGATGTAGTTCGTCATTGTCTCTCCAGGTTTTCTAGCAAGGTTTGTAACTTTCCTTTCAAGCCCCATCTTGCTTACCTGGTTCGTTGTCTTGAGTACAGTAGTCTCCCGGTTAAGTACGCACTTTGAACCCGGAAGTGTTGTGCGTACTTCAGAAAATTGACTTCCTAATCGTTTGATTTGAGTGTAATGTCAAAGGAACCTTATATGAACACTCCTAAAAGACTCGGCAATATTTGATATCATAGAGAAACTGACCAAAATCATGATTCCACTGGAAGAAAAACTTGCAAGTGATCATGAGACAAACGGAACAAATCACAAAGCTAAATTGAGTTTATGTATGATGAAGTTAAAGAGAAGACTTTGTAATCTCACTCTTCTTACATCTATTGACACCGCCAACTAAAAAAATTATGCATTGAGTTTATTGATTTCATATATGGACTGCAGTACATATTTGTAATTGCTAAGTCGTATTCAATTGCCAAGTGAGTTGTAAAAGGTGTTGCTTCTAGGAGAGTGATTTGAAATTTTGTCATGGACTCTAGCAACGTTAACTGTTATAGCCTTATATAATCTAAAACCTCAAATCTTTTCTTCATTTTGCGATAGTGGCTTGCTTTTTTCTCCAATATGAGAGTTTGTCTCTAATGTTAAACGAGTATATATCAGCCACTAGAGGTTCACGCTTCTAATCAGATATGAGACAACCACTAGGAGGAGTAATAATTTTTGACCATAAACCAAATGAACGACATGTCATGGGTTAAACCCTATTTTTGTGCAAAACAAATGTGTACTTAACTGGGATACGTACCTAAACGGGTGCGTACTTAACCGGGAGATTGTACTTCATCAAGATAGTCCAGGCATTCCTTCCCACTAGCTTGCTGAGGGTTTGCTTGAAATTCTTGCCAACGGCTAAAATAATCAAGTAACTTGCCTTGAGACTCTTTGGCTTGAGTTTTGCCTTGCGCTTGTTGACCTCTTCTTGATCGTACTCTCTAGCATCGTTTGTCTTGACGCTGGTCATGTGCACCCCAAGGATTCATTCTTCACAGTCGCCGGTTGTGTATAACTCAAAAAGTACTTAGAGAAGAAATACGCCTAAATGTCTATCTTCCACGCCTTGAAGTTCTCTTCTATCAAAAGCTCAATCAGACTATTCTCCAAGGATTGGACGCTTCTCCAACCTCCCGATCTATCTAAGGATACTTCAATTTAAGAACATTTCTCTAATCGAAATAGTAGTCTCTAGAGAAGTAATCTACTGCTTACTTCTCTTTAGCTACTACAAGCCTGTGTGTCCATAACCTGTTAAATTTTGAGTCTTGAAAGACATGAACAACTGACACAAACAAGTGATGTATTAGAGTCTCGGAATGGAATGCTTCATACAGAAGTGTTTTATCTAGATTGTTGAACTTCTCGTGAAGAATCCTACCTAGATAGATCCGTAATTTTGGCTTGTTATTCTCAGGAAAGAACTCGCTCTCTTGATCTGCAACATGGGTAGACGTGCTCCACGCCATTGCGATCAGACCGGCATCTCCTCAAGCTCAGTGGCTAGGTTGGCCGTTCTTCTTATATTAGCATCGAACTTACAGTTGATTTTTGGTCTTTGTAGTTTAATCATAATACAACGATCTGCTGCCAAATCCTAGTTTCTGCTGTGGAGCTACTCAAATCTATGTTCGATGAATACTTGCAAGGATTACGCGGATCTCCCTTCAGGATAATAGTTTTAATATAGGATGAAGGCTAGCTAAGAATACTGACATTTATTTTTCAGGCATGAACTTGGATGTCTGTGGAGTGTATAAAACTTTTCAACGTACCAGGCTGACGTGACAGTATAATTGTATCCAACGCTCATGTTGATATTGAGTTGTATGATACAACAAGCTGAAGGTCATGGATATAATTAGCTTGCTGCTTGCAGTCCTTTTGGGTTGGAGATTTTTTCTATCTTACAGCCATTTTATTCAGCACTCAGGTCGTTATCCATGAGGGGACGATCCTACTTTATCCCCATGGACTGCAAGAGGGTCATGGTTGGATACGAGGATACGTAGTCTTAGAATAGCTGAGATTCTGTAGTCAGGTAACGGAATTCCCAGTTTCAATCTGCGTCTCTAATGAACGAAATCGAAAGTGCGATCTCTCGGTCCATACGCTAGTTGGATGCGAGAAGCCAGACAATAGATTCGGAGTCCAGGATTTTTTCTTCACTTATAGTGAGTTGCATTTTGACAACGTTGAATTCAACATCATAATTCACTCGCATCTAAAGTAAACAGCGGAAAAATGAAAAGGCGAGTGAAAAGCAATTCTTTTCACTTTGGCTATGGCCAGAGATGGCAAGAAAGACACTTTGGCACGGGGAATGCTGTCAATCCGGATGTAAAGCATGTCCTCGACCTCAGTAAATCGTCCCACGGAAGCTCGAAATGGCCTGTCCTTAATTTCTTCAAACAACAAGACAGACCCTTCCAAAATCGCCTGCCGATTGTCCCACTCCTTTCGGATGGCGCCTTCACTAATGCTGTCCTCTCTAGCTCAAGAGTACAGCATTGGTGTTGCGCCATCGCTCTGGTCTCTTGAGCTACAGCCCTTTAACTCGGAGCACTCGTTTTGAGTCGATGCTAGTTGACACGCTTTCTATTATTCGTTTTCTTCGATAATGTAGCAAAACGCAAGCGATTCGAAAGCTGCCAATCTTAAGTGTTGAACTCACCTACGGGCTCAGTGACCACAAAGTTGAGTTCTGAAGCGGTAGACTATTGTACTGGAGTACAAGACATATTTATATTCCTTCACGTTCTATCCACGTGAAGAGATGGAAGTACTCCATGTGATTCACCCGAATTTATCTCTATGAAGCATCTAATATTAAAAATTATCCACTTTCGAAAAGTAGTAGATTCGTCATGTATTCATTATTTTTCATGGACAAAAGTAGTAAATTGGTCAAAGGTCCACAAATTCGACAGGAGGCCTACGAATTCGAGACTTGGAGCAACATAAATCTTGCAGTTGTTTTGGAAATGGATGTGATTCGCAAGCCATAAAACTGGATCATGATACTTTGTTACTCAGAGCTACCGAAAGTACAATTTTGTTTAGATTCACAAACTAAGAGATGAAAAATCTACTTGTCTTCACAGATTTCCCATGTGTATGGTGAGATATCAGTCATAACATAAGATATTTAGTATCCAGTAAATTTCCGCGAAATCTATATATTGAAGTCGGTGGTGGAAGCTCTATGTCAAAATCAGTTCACTTGCTACCCAAGCGGGAAGACAATGTTCAGGAGGTCTGAAAGATTCTTCAACCCCTTAAGTTCTAACTACAACTCAACCCAATGTTAAAGAATAAACTTCCTTCTATCTAAATCGGTTCTACCTACTTCCAACGAAACGGGAGGGAAGACCTCGGCGTCTGCACTGAAGGCATGGCTATCATTGGATCCTGCTGACAAGCATCTTCGTTTAAAGTTGACGTAGACGTCACTAATGGAGGTTGATTTCAAAAACTGAAGCCCTTCGTGTGAGAAAATGACTACCGGCGCGTCCCCATGCAGCAGTCATGTTCTCATACCGAGCTTCAGGGATGAGATTCTAAATTGTGAGATTAGCGTTGCTAAGTATCAGGCTGATACTGAGTCCTCATCACTACTTGTTCACAACGCGACAGTTCTTACGAATTTGTCCGCTGGTGCCTGTCAGCACTTGAATGTTTCCCATCTTGAGCATGGAAGCCCCGAAGTCTGCTGTGAATGGCCCTCCAGCCTTGTTCTCTGCCTGCACAAGCTTCAAGCCCTCGGCAGTTCTCTTGATGGCATCGTCAGACTGGAAGAGAACTCTTCCTTTGAGAACGTTTGAGAAGTAGTTGAAGTCCCAGGTGTCGGTGGCCTTGGACTGATCCATCATGATGATACCTGTGGAGCCGAACTTGCACTTACTTTTCAAGATGGGAACGAAAGATGGGTCAATGGACGGGTCTGTGGAGTTCGTTGAAGAAAAATTGTAAAGTCGTTGCTGCAAAGTGGAGCAGCGGCTGAACCCAACCGTGTGTGCACCTGCAAAACATGTGGATTAAACAATTGACAACCATAATATGCACGGTTCGACTTATTATCTCGTTAAAGTGAGGGCACGTGCAATGAATGCAACGTTTGCATTGAGATTCTCTCTTAGGTGAAGACTGACGGATTCCTCGGGAGTCTAGTCGTTGACTTCAATACTTTGTCAAGACCAAATTCTGGAAAAACTTACCGGAGAGAACAACCATGTCCTTTGTTGTAAGTCCTTTCGCTGAGAACAAGCTCATCAGCATGTTGAAATCGGCAAAAGGAGGTGGTAAATTGTTGTTAGCCTCCCATGCGAAAGAGCTTACGCCGTCTCTTCGGCCTAGAGGAACGGTGTAGTTCAGGCCTCCAAACTGCACATAGTCTGAAAGTTAGTGTCAAGGATATTTTCTCGATACACTAGCTTAGAAAGGTTGGGATGGATTTTCGCAATGAAAAGACTAAACGGCGGAGATTGCCCAAAATTGACACGAATCAGATACATCAGAAAAAATTCAGGTTACCAAACTGCACGTAAGTAAATAGAGTTTTGAGTGGACCAGTTAACAGATCTGGACAAATGTATAATTCAATGTCCATGAACGCATGTACACATAGGCTGATGCAGTGTGTTGTTGGCATTCAAGTAAGTAAGATGTAAGACAAATCTGGGTGTTAGCGATCCCATGTGTCCAAATTAGTTCCAGAGCGTTTCCTCACCACTAGCATAGAATCTCGGGCAGCCAGAGCGAGAATATCGGCGCAGGAGACAATTCCTGGACACATGGCTTCGAGTTTGGCTTTAACATCGTCAATAATTTCAAAACCTCTCAGGGAGTTCTTGTTGCCACCAGCGTCCTTTTCTCCACTGTTGGCTACTGTTGAATCCAAGAGCACAGACGCATCGCATCCCTGCACACAAAATGTGGGTTGTCTCCAAATCTCAGAAATTTACATCTCATTTGGAAGAGATGACTCATAACACTTACGCATTCTTCACACCTAGAAACAAATGTACACTCTTGAGTTTGTAGTACTCACCCGAACAAAACAGTCGTGAAAGTGCAGGCGGAGAAGAGCAGGTGCCATGCTTCTGTCCTTCACTATCCACGATTTTACTACTTCGAACGCCTTATTAGTGGCGTTTGGACACTTACTTGCATAGAAAGTTGTACTTAGCTGAGCATTGGCTTGCACGGACACACCGAGAATGGCTGCAATGACAAACAGGGCCCTCGCTGATGTGAGTGCCATTGTGTTGCTCTAAGCACGCGATACAGGAGATCCTTCACCCTTTCAGGATTTCTTATGGAGAGCTGTGAGGTGAAATATGAAATATGAGAAGGTAGTTGTATCTCAGACAATGCTGAGATGGAGACAGTGCGTTTGTGTCCAACTTCACCACCATTTATATTCAACCCAATTGTAGCTGTAGATCTTAACTCTCCTGGAGCCTGCCATCAAGTTGTTAGCCAGTGCACGCTGACAACTCATTTCCACTAGTTGCCTAGGTCTGCGCTAGGGAATATAGTAAACGCAGCTATAATCTGGGTGTGCAGCAGCATTTTGAGGAGCACTCATGAGCAACAGACTCTATGACTTGTCGAGCTGATATTCAGCAGCATTACAAGGAAGCACTTACGAGTGATGTGATATGCCCTCTGTGTAATGTGTCGCTGAAGCTGCAACATCTACGGTCTGCCGTTTTGATACCACCTGTAAGTCGATCACTACATGTTTACTGCTCATGAATCTGATTTGAAAATATACAAAGGTCTCCTTCAAGGGCTCGCTATTTTTCCTTTTGGTTAGGAGGAGTCTTGCAATTGGCTCCGTTGACTAGAATTTAGGAATCAATTTCGAGTTCTTGAAACTTCAGGATTTCAGAAACCTACAGTATTGCCTGGATCACTGTGAAGTAATGGGAACTCGAGGCGATGATGCAAAGGCTTTTCGTGTTCATGACATCGGACTATCGCTGCTGTTAGATGTAACAGCAGTAAAAGTTTATGTATAGCAGACATAAGCGATATATAGAGCAAATGCTGTTATAAATGCACGATAACATTTGACTTAGAATCAGAAGTTATAGAAGAACACGGCAGTGGAATGTGTGATTTAATATATGTCTCTTGGTTGTGGACTCATGAAACTGCCCTCTGGTCTGCAGTCCGAACTGTTATGTCGCAGCGTTGATCGGAAAGTCAGCTTGATTTTTCCTACATCCAAACTTTAGCCACGGAAGTGTCGAACAAAGCTACTACGTCAGTGAACGAGAGGCTGAATGCCCAGATTGATTTGCGCAGATATTGAAATGACATTTATTGTAGGCGTCACTGTATGAAGGAACGTGAGCATGGGCTGGCAGATTTTTAAGTAATCAAGCTCAACCTGGTGTGACAGCTGTCTCCATGTCTGTAGACAGCATATGAACCATTAAAATGATTGATACACGGAAAGCACTATAATGCATGGATTATATCTGTTTCACACAGTCAAAGTATCCCAGTAGTTTACACTGCTGAATTAGCCTGAACATATACGTAATTGGGCCGAGAAGTATTAATGCAAACTGGTCTGCTGCTCATTCATCGATCACCAGTACTTTTAGGCTTAGATTCTCTTTCCTGGCATGGACGTTAAGTGACTCTTCATCCTGGAGTACCATGGGATAAGCAAGAGCAGCAGTTGCTGCTGATTTTTCAACTGCTACAATTGAGTACAGTTTGGACTCATGGTCCTTAAGTTCACTGACCAGCTTCACAAAATTGTACATTGATCACGATGGGCTCGACTGTCCATCTACAGCATCCGAAGGTTCCTAATCTCCAAGCTCGTCTATCCAGGTATATGGGAATGTAGAAATTTAAAACTAAATTCCAAGTCTGGCGCTGGACTTTTTCCATTGAAACTAGAGAAACACATATGATCAGTTATTTGTTTTGCTAGGTGGGAAATCAGAACAGAGTCTTCGTTGGCACAGCACAAACATGCAACGGGTACTCGACCGGACAAAACAGTCGTGGAAATGCAATCGAAGGAGGGCAGGCGCCATGGTCCTGTCCTTAAGAATCCACGATTTGACGACGTCAAGAGCTTTCGTTGTAGCTTTCGTTGTAGCATAGCCTAGAAATTTGTCGAAAGCTGAGTATTGGCTGCTGTAGCAGCCGCAAGAATGAGGTACAGACACATAAACTGCCCATGGGAATTCATGGGTGCCATGGTTGTACTCGGTATGTAGGGGATCTCAAACTTTACTCACGATCTTGAGCAGGTGACTGAGTGAGTAGTTAGTGTTTGCAGTAAGGCAAACGTGGAGACGGTATTTCTTTCTATCGCAGGCTACGCTGAGATGGAGAGACTGAGTTTACCTTGATTCTGAATGCATTTTTACAAATATGATGAACACCAGAAAGCCACTGTGGGCTCCACTGGCAACTATTTAGTCTCGATCCATTGATCCAGGGCGTTTATGCTGTCGTCTGGATCGTTGGCAAGCCATTTCCATGACTGGCCTAGGACAGCATTCAGAATTCTTCCAACAACCTTGCAAATCGGGCTTCGCTCCAGAGTTTGGGGAACTCCCGGATTCTGCAGGTGGGAGCCCACATTATGACCATATTTCACTGCATATTTGTGCTACATTGAGGCATGCCTTCGTCTGAATGCCCGAGGATAGGCGTCTGTTGACTGTACTCAGTTCCGATAGAGTGGTGTCTATGGCTTTATGTGAATCATCATTGAAGAAACGAAGGCGTATATTCTGAAACACCTAGATATATTCCTCAGTTTCTGGAATTTTTCATCTCAACATGAAAAGGTAATGCCGTGAAAGGAAAATAAATAAAAAATTCGGTTGACAATTCATCAAGTCAACATTAGTAAGAGCACAAAATTAAGTGTGCAGTTCTCATTATCCGAATCTGGTGAGGAAAACACCAGAATCTTTTTAATGTGAGATCTTGCTCGTGATTTTATATTTGGTAATAAAAAAATAATTCGGGAATAATCAAGTGTTAATTTATCTCATACATTCATTTTGATTTTTATGGCGATATGTTTATTATATGCATGAATATTTTTCATTTAGAATTTTATTTAAGAATTAAAAATAAATAAAATAAAATTCAGTTAAATAAATTTATCAGGATCTTTAGAAAATTCATAACAACACAAATACCACCGTCAAAATATTTATGTAAAAAAAAATTAACATCGAACAAAATAATCAACTGCATTCTTAAGAAAACCAAAATAAATAATGTTGATGTTAATGACTTTGAAAACTTTGAAACTTTATTTTTTAAACATATCATTCAAACCATCATATTATGCTTCGTAAATTGTGTATATGGATGAAAATACTGGAATAGTTGGGCTACAAGACATGAGAAACAAAAGAATCAAATCTCTGGATGGTGTAAAAAATCTCGGATGTCATGTGGTAAAACGTTAGGAAATAGGTAAATATCACGCTCATGAGTTGGTCAAATATCACACGAGCATTGTCTATGGGCAAAAGTAGTCGAACGTGTTGCGGTGTCGATCGAAGCTTACAGTGAATAGAGGTATTGCACAACAACTCATGTACAAGACCATATCATGGTGTATCCAAAGTACATCTGTGGAAAACCAGAAAAAAGTCAGAATATTGGGAACAAATCCCAGTGCAGCGGAGAAGTCCGAATTGTACACTCGAGTGACATAATGGGAACCAGTGATCGGAAATTGGTGTCCCACATTTCAGTGGGTAGAGAAATTTGGCCGAGCGGATCATCGATCCGGACATGGACACAAACTTTCTCTCTGGCGCGAACATCAGTCCGCGCTAAGAGAGGAAAAGACTCTTTGACGGGCGAAAGCCGGAGCAGAAGAGAAGAGAAGAGAAGAAATTTCACTATATGTTGATATAAAAGTAGTAGAATTGATAGGACACGGTGATCAAGTGCTATCTTCGTAGTTACATGACATGCACTGCAGCAACAGGGATTCTACGAGCTGTTTGATTGACAAGGTTGACTAGAAGAGTATGGACCATGGCAATACCGCGAAGCACGAAACATGTGCAAGGGCGCACGTGCATGACTCTCGCTGCATGAACATGGAAGGCATGTGCTGTGTTGAAGCCATGAGCGAATGTGTCGAGACTCGAGGTTTCGGAGGCACTACTTAGTCCCTGTAGTGCCACCGATCTGTTCGTCAAACGTGTGATTAGTTTCTGTTGCCATGTGTAGAATCTGATAACAGAATCACGCTCATTTGGAGATTGGAGACTTATGAAATAATGAAGTATTGTACTGTGAAATAAAAAATTGACAGATAAGAAGCTGAGACGTTTAGAAGAAAAAGGTGAGCAGATAAAATTTGAAGTCCTAATTTTAATAAACAACACCTCATTTTGCGAAATTTTATATTGGAAAGTCCTAATATACAAGAATGAAGGTCTTAATATATCCAACATTTATCCAAAATTGCTTGGTATCCTGCACATGTCAAAATCAATGAGTCTTCCAGTTCTACCCGGAAAGATATTACTTTCCAAAATTCATGTATATATAATGCAAGTATTCTTAAGATTCACTTGATAATCGTCATACAATGTTATTTTTTCCGAAAAAATGATTGATAATTATCATAGAGTTCTATATAATGAATCTCACTTAACCTAGCGCATAAATACGACGAGAGATGGTATATTAATGAAACGTATTTTAATTATATCGATATTATTTTGAGAATTATTATGATATACTTGTGGATTATATTATATAGAAAAAATATTTGAAAAATTATGAGATTAAATCAGTCGTCATAAAGTGTGGTATTTTGTTTTCAGATGACTACTTTGCCAAAATTAAACTGGAAAAAGTGCCCTAATCTAAGTATAGAGACGGACCAACACATCGCATTGTGCACAATATTAAAAGAAAAGAAATGACTGGAATATATTTTACCTGATTTTGTATCTTCAATTTTTTGGGATAATTAAAAAATGTACATTTATTGAACAGAATCTAACAATCAATTTTCAGATATGTATTTTGATTATCTCCAGAATACAAATTATCAATGTTTCTTATATTTTTTTCGCATAGACTACAATGCAATTTTCATACTATTGTAACAATAATCCTGCCCAGTATGTTCCATTCATTTACATGTGTGTTTAAGTATGCTCACGTTTGTATTGTATTTGGACACGTAAAGAATATGTACGAACGGAATGTCACGTAGAAACCGGTTGCAAGGTGAGGAACAGAACTGCTCGTGAGAGAGTGACCTAGAGAGCGGAGCTATCGTACATTGAAAGGATACCAGTCTTTCCGTTGGCCGAACTGACTTCTCCCGGGGTTGACGTCACTGCGACGTTGCCTTGATTCCGGAGTCTGAAGCGACAATTTCATGCTTGGCAAAGCTTGCCATG